GAAATGGCCCACAAGTTTTGTTTCCACGCCAGGCAAGTCAGCAGAACCGCTAAGGGCAGGATTATGGAGCACTTGAGCAAAACTCTGCCTCTGGTGGAAAGGCAGCCTGTCTTCGGGGAAGGAGAAATCATGCCTCCCTAATCTACTAGAGCTCTTTGAAGGGCCAAATAAGTGTATGGATAAGGGGGAAACAGTAGACACACTCTATTTACACTTTCGAGAAGCCTCTACAGGCAGCACACCAAAGCCGGTTGAGTCGCCATGGGGATGGGGGAATGCCTGGTGACAATGGGGAACTAACTGGCTTGGAGATAAGAAATGCAGAGTAAGGATAAACAACCTTTCTCTGGATGGAAGAGAGTTAACAGTGGGGTGCCTGGTAGGGGACTGATGCTCTCAGGGGACCAGTGTATCTGGCCCTGGTGATTTGAGATGTGACCAATAAGCCCTTTGCTTTCACGAGCCGCAAGTGGAAATTGGCCTCGTTGCCCCCCAGTCAAGCTCGATTATCACCTTATTGAATTTGTCCACTTTGTGACATCATGAGCTCCTGAAAGGCAGGGGGCATATGTGATATTTCATTATTCATTACAGTGACTAGTGCCCAAGAAATATTCTGTGGTTTGAGCAGTTGAGAGGAGAGTGAATGCTCATTGAAATCCCGCCTGGCTGATGACCCTGAGCTGTTCTGTGTGGGAAGGTCACAGCCAAAGGCTGTAAGCTGCAGGGAGAGGCCGGAGGCTCGGGGGAGGCCCGAGGCGCCCAGCATGGGCAAGGGTAGCCGGAGTAACGCACTAAGTGAAAAAGAATCCAAACTGCATTTTCATTTTATTAGGAACTGCACAGAGAGAACCTCTAAGGGTGCCTGTCAGGTTAGAAAATTATCGTGTAAATTGTGTTTTTGAGGGTGACAGATTTGAAGCTCTCAGTGACAGCCCAAGAGTTATGAGTCACTATAATCCAGTGCTTCTTAAGCCACTTTATAGTCACCTTCTCCTCCATCAAGTGCTCTTGAGGATTTTTTTCTTCCTAATTGCCATCACCTTCATGAAATTTTAATAGCATAGATATACTGTATATCTGTTAATGGACCATGGCCCCTGGAAGAGCCAGAAACCATTTTGATGGCTAGGAGTTTTTCCTCTCCCAAGAATCAAGTTTTGTCTCCTTGGGATGACCATGCCCGGGATGAGAATGTGTGCTGCAGAGGACTCCCTGAAGGTTTGGGCCCAACATGCTCCTTCATCCACACGAAAGGACAAGCATCTGAACATCTAAGAATGGAACTGGCCACCTAAAGAGGAAAGTTGCCTTTTGCCTTCCCCTCAAGCCCGAATGAGAAGTGGGGTGATGTGCTGGCATATGCCTCTGACCGGCTTTCTCCCCTTCTTCCCTTGCTCGCTTAGTGGCCCGACAACCACAGACCTCGGGTCAGCTCCCTCTGGCTTCAGGGCAGGTTTGACAATGAAGGAGACAGGGTTTGGGGGAGGAAGGAGAGAGCCGTGAGAGTGCATGTCTCTGGCTCCCTCCTTGTGAGGTCACACAACCTGCCTGGCTGTGTCCTTTGGCATTTGACTCTTGGTTTCTCCTTCTGGGTTCTGGTAACACACTGCTCCCCTTCCCTTGGGTAGAGATAGTAACGGATCTACTGCTACTATCCCCAAGTTACAGCAACAATCCCTTGCGGTTCCTCTGTACCCACACACCTGTAAATATGTTACATTCATTGTGCCCTCCATTTCCTGTTGGGACTCCAATGATGGTGGGGGGAGGTCTTGTCCCTGCGCATCAGAAGAGACAGCAGGAGCTGGAATGAGGCCAGCAGGGAACAGGTGAGAGGAGGTGAAGGACTGGGTGAGATGGGGCAGGAGGAGAAGGAATCACCCTCCTAAAAAGGGTCTCAAAGGGTTTCATGGGGTGGGAGACTACACTTCCCCTTCCGTGGTCATCAAGGATCCGCTGGCACTTCAGAGGTAATTTAATAAATATTGTGGTCTATCTCCTTCTTCCATGTAGTTGGGACCGATGAAGCATTTTCTCCACTCTAGGGGTAGTGCTGGCCGAAGCTGGGCTCTTTGGGGACATCCTCACTCTTATGGGATGATGCTGGAGAGGCAGATCTGGCCTCTGTTATTTGTCTTTCGGGCTTCCTATCAGAGGCAGGCCGTGAGTCCGGGAATGCTTCCCTCGGGAAGCGGGAAGCGGCAGGTTTGAATGGGCCATTCATCTCTCGGGCCCAGGGTCCACTGTTGCTGTGCGAGGTGGTGGGTAATGGGAAAGGAGCACAGGCTTTTAGGGGCAATCGCCTAGGCCTCAGTCCTGGGTCCTCACCCCTCCGGGCCGTCGCCCCTCTCATACTGCTGCCATGAGGATTAAAGGGGAAGGTGCGGCAGCCCCTCCTCCCAGCAGACTGAGCAGTCTCCTGCTCTGAGTCTAACATGCCTCTTCCCGGCTCTGCTCCTGGGAGCAGGGGGAGACAGCCTTCCAAGCCCTCCTCCGCACTCCAGAAGCCGCAAAGTGAAAGCAAGAAGCAGTTGTCATAGATGTGCGGGGTCGGTGGGCACATTATCCTGAAGCCTCTTAATCCCATTTTCTGCTTTCATGTTAATCCTCTTCCTCCGTCTTAGGCGGACTCGACTCCCAGGGCACTGACCTGGTGGGGGCTGAACTCCGCCCCTCCAGGCAGTGGCAGTGTTGGCTGCTGGGCCTGCTAGAGGTGAGGCACAGGGTCAGTGTGGCCGTGTGTGGGTCCCCCACAGCCGACCCGAATATTCTGCCAGCTCACTCACAGCAGCGAGGACAGGACCGGCCAGTATTTCCTAAGCACTCGCTGTTTGCGGATGCTGGCTAAGACCTTTATGTAGTGACTGAACACTCCTGTGAAGCAGGTATTATTGATCTAAAATGTGCAGATGAGGATGTGGAGGCTCAGGGATCTGTTACAGCTCAGATCACAGTGAGCAAAAACCAGTCCTGCCAGAATTCCTCCAGAGCCTTGATGGGCACCAGCAGCAAACCTGGAAAGGACCTGTCTTCGATGTCCTTCCCCTGGCATTGCACCTGAGGCTTCATTTGCGTGAATGTATTGCTTCCACACACTACACCTGGGTAGGGCTGGCTGTGCAGTGGCGTGGAAAGGATGACTTTGGGGAGACTGTCGGGGGCAGGGGAATGGTTCTGGCTTGAGCAGGAAGGGGACAATGTACCCAGGAATTCAAAGGTTTCCAGGGAGATGGGTGGCTGCCTGGGTAGCCGTCTGGGGGTAGAAGTGATTTCTGCGTCAGGCTTTCACCCACGACATCCTCTTCCTTTCAAGGCCCTCCGGCACCTCTCTGCTCCCAGCTGCAAATGCCCTTCGCTCTCCAGGATGGACCCTGGCCAACTGCGCCCCCAGATACAGGTTCTGAGGCATGACTCACTCGTGACGGAAGAAGCCATGTACCATCCCTTCAGCCACCTGTGGGTGAGTTTCTAAAAAGGTTTTCTGGGCTGTGACCCTCCACTCAGTTTGTCACACTCACAGTGAACACGCGCCCGTAACTCTTAGATCGCTCTGGCTCCCGCCTCCCCTCCAAGGCCGGCTTGGCAGTCAGGGCCGAGTTTTAATGCTCTGCTGTGACCCGGGCTTCAGTTTTCAGGTCTATAAAACGGGAGTAATCATTGCTCATGGAGGCCGGAGACTGCCACTCTCCCTGGACCAGCGAGCCCCTTGTCTGGAAACTTCTAGCATCTCAGAAGGTAGTGCTGGGTTCATCTTCAGCTTTCTCTCTCCTCACAAAGTCACACAGCCCCTGGGCCCTGTGACCCTCTCTGCTGACTGTAACCCTCTGGACTGTCCAGCCCCCACAGACCTTCCTATCCCCACCCTGTTGCACCTCCTGAAGGCTGGTGGGTGGGGTGTCTTCTCCTGCTCTTGGAGCCCCACCAATGGCTGGGCAGTCGGAGGGCAGAGGGCGCGGGGCAGGCTACACATCTGTGTGTGAAGTCAGCTGAGGACCCCCCTGGAGAGGTGGCGACTGGGGAGGCTCTGACCCCTTCCCCACCACAGTCACCAAGCCCGGGTGGCCAGAGGCAAGATGTGGGGTGTGGGGGTCAGATGTAGTGGGGGCGGGGGGCAGCCCTGAAGGTCCAAGCGGCATCTCTGCTGAGGACTCCAGAGCTAACACTGGTTCTTCCATCACTTAGGACATTTTGCACTTGAGAAATTATACCAACTACATTTGTTGAGGAGAAATCAGGCTGAGTTAAAAGTCTGGTTATTCTTTTTAATGCTCTCAAGGTTTGTGTACTTTGAGAATGGTCTAGAAGCCAGAGAGGGTCCAGGAGAAAAAGAGGTGAGGTTTTGAAGTCTTGTAACTATGCTGGGGCTCTCTCTGGCCTCAGTGTGATCTTCAACCCTGAGGACCTTTTGCTCTGGGCTTCTGTACACTTGGGCCTTCCTTCCCCTACTCGACCCTCCCTCCTAAAACCCCGAGGGGGCTGGTCTTTTCCGAGGCCTTCCTTTCTCTTTACTGTCCATACATTTCTCACTCAGAGAAAGGCTCTGAAAAAGAACAGAGCCTTTAATGTTCTCTGAAGAAGAACATTACCTTGTGCAGGGCAGTGGTGGAGACAGCCAGGCTCCAACCCTGTATGGAGCGAAGCCGACCTGACAGGAGGTTGCCTGGGGTCCCCTGAGATGCCCCAACATGAGGACATCACTGCTTTGGGTAAAGGCTCTGTCTGTAAGAAGCTGGTGTGTGCTACAGTGCGAACCTCCTTAGGGGAATGAGTCCCTCGTGTCTTTTGTCGGGATGCAGGAGTGGATGGCCACAAAGGGAGGTGGGCACCGTAACAGCAGGGCCTGAAAACACATTTTGCCAACTCCCGTGATTGCCATGGAGATCTCACGGCCTCAAAGGTCACCCCTCATGACACGGTGACCTCCCCACAAACATACACCGAAGACATAACCCAGGATGAGCAAGTCGGCCCAAGAAACTAGGGCTTGGGGAGAGGCCTTGCCGTGAAATGTCATTTTATTAATTGATTGACTTTTTTTTTAACAAAAATAAACATTTTAATGAACAAGAAGTACAAAAGCTTCCGGATATACAAACTCCAGGAGGAGGGAGAGGCTGGATTTGGCTGTTTCTCAGCTTTCACTGAAAGCAAATGAGGCAGAAAGGCCCCGGCCCCACCCCCACCCCAGGTCCTGGCTCAAAATGCAACCTGCTCCTCAACCCCACGTCTTGGCTCATACCATGCGTGCTCCTCAGCCCCTGTCCCGGGACTGGCCTACGAGACCCTGGTCAGGTGGCCAGAGGCGGCCTCCCCAGGTACAGAATCATCGACTTCCCAGAGCATCCCGTCCAGTCTCCTGTCCGGAGCTCAGCTAAGAGGACACTCCATGACCGATTGTCCCCACGCAGCCCCTGCTAGGCCATGATGCCTGTAGCAACAGCAGCAGCAGCAGTCGGGGCTTTGGCTACATTCTCACACTACAAACACAGTGATGGAGCTGCCCACAGAACTGTCCCAGTGAGGGGCAGGGCCCCCCAGGGAAGACCAGCCCGTGCCTTGCCGGCAGCCCAGAGGGTCGGAGAGCCCAGGGGTCCCTCACCTAGACTGGCAAACTCACATTTTAACATTTGGCATTATTGCACATTGTCCTGGTCACCTTGGTCTGTCTGGGATGTCAGCCTTGTCTGCAGCGGCTCCTGGGTGACATGCAATGCTGCTTGTGCAAGTCTCTCCCTCCACAGGCAAGCCCAGCGGCAGGGACGGTCAGCTGGTCAGCTGAGCCCGCAGACAGGTCAGCCAGAGGCCCTCACATACGTGGTTTTGTTGAGGTCAGGGACCACATGGCTCCATCCCGTCTTGAAAAAGACCAGTTGCCGACCTGGGGGCAGAGGTGAGGGGTAAATAGGTCTGGATGTCTCTCCCCCTGGAGGCAGGACCTATGATGCCTGCTTGAGGACACATATACTTGTCTCATCATCTCGGCCTTCTTGTCTTCTGATGGGGGTGGGGGGCCACTACCTATCAATGTCTTCTGCGAAAGTCCAGTCACCTCCCTCACGGTGTCCTATCCTACTGGCTCACCTGTCCAGGTGGTCTGGTTGGTGACCACAAAGGCCCGGCACTGGGCATGGCTCTCACAGACGTCCACGGCCTCGGCCAGGCTGAACACGGAAAGGAGGCAGCCTCCGTGGTGGTAGGAGGGCCAGCAGCGGTAGTCTTCCTGGGGGATGGCGCTGTCTGGCAGGCGCTGGTACTCTGTGGGTTGGGGATGGAGCCCCAATGAGAACTTTGTGTGCCCAGGGGTGAAAGCTTGGCTGCTTTCTGCAAAGGGCAGGAAGATTCATTTCCTAAGAGAAAGCTGAAATCCAGCCCAGTGCCCCTAGCATGGAGATGAAGGCAGCCAGTGCTCTGAAACTGGACCGGCTGGCTCTTCAGTAAAGGCAGCGCTCAAATTTAGTTTTGGGGAGACACATATCTCCCCAATCTAAGAACATGCCGCTGGCTCAGGCAGCACAGGATGACAGGCACATGTGAGGGATAAACACACACCCAGAGTCACTGGCTGTCTAGCTGGTTACTGAGGTCAGGACACTTTGGACATTTAGGGCGGGTTTTTCAAACTTCACTGTGCATGTGATTCTCCCAGGAATATCATTAAAATGCAGATTCTGATTCAGAAGGTCTAGGGTGGGCTTCCTCCTGGCCTTGGGGGAGAGGTTAGGCAGGCCCTTCAGATAAGGGGGCAGTGGGGAATTTTTGAACTTAAGAGGCATGCAAATGAGTGTGATACACAAAAATTACTCTTTGAGAATCCACAGCTTGAGTGTTTTGGGGGAGGGGGGCACTGGAGGAAGAATCTGAGATCTCCGCATTACACAAAACAACCCTCTGAAATCGGCCCAGTCAGGGGGCAGGCTTGGCTCAGCTGCAGATGTCCGGTCCCCTCTTGCCGCCCGACCGGAGTCTTTCCCACTGCCTGGGGACCCTGCTCTGCACTGGCACTGCTGAGCCCTGGGCCTCTGGCCACCCCCCCTCCTACCTCCTCCTTCTACCAGGGACTAGACCAAAGTCCAGGGCTGGCCGTGATTTACAGCCCCATAAACGGCGTCCTCAGGGACAGAGCCAGCCATTGTTCACCTCGTTAAACTTTATTTACAGGGCTAACGAGGGCTCCCCCACCCTTAAGACTGGCCGGAGCTCCTTGAATATGGAGGCTGCCCACCCCTTGCCCCACCGGCCAACCATGCTGAACCCCAGGGCCTCAGTGAAGGACCAAAACAGTGACCAGGATCCTCCCCCTGCTCCAGGGCTGCCTTGCTGGTTTCAGTGTGGAGCCCCCTCTACCTCCAGCTGTCCTCCCAGCCCCAGAAGCGGAGAGGAAGGAAAGAGAAGCAAACATATATTGTGTTCCAGCTGTGGAATAGGAACTGGGTTAATTGCTTTCACACACTTCACTTGGCATTTAAACCCCTTAAGAATTTTGTGAGGCAGGTAACGTTGAACCCAATTCACAGATGAGGAAAGTGAAGTTCAGGGTATAACTTGCTCAAAGTCACACAGACTGCACATAGTACAGTCTGCAGTCACTCTGAGAAGGAGTGTCAGTGCCAATCCCCCAGTTTAAGGCCAAGTTCTAGTTCAGCCAGAGATGAGACTCCGAGCGAAGGCTACACAGCCAGCAGTCTGTGTATCACGCCAAGTGAGTCTCAGTGGGGGCATGAGTCACTTAGTCGAATTACCGGGACTGGTTAACCCCCCACCTATCTCCCATCTCCCCAGCCCCTGGGTCCCTGCGGGGGCTACTCACCAGCTGTGCTGCCCGCGGTGGAGTTCTGCAGGTACTGGCCGCTCCGGTACAGATGCAGCACCTTCTCCAGCTGGGCCAGGGTGTCATCCACCCCCCACGTGAGCTCACCTGCAGGGTGCAGTGTGGCTGTGAGAGGGACGTGGGCTCCTACTCCTCCCCTCGGTAGGCAGCCAGCTACCTCCCTCTCCCTCTGACCCTCTGGAGCTGGCCCCAGATGACTGGTGGGCTGGGGAGGAACTCTGACACAGCATGCCACTTTGGGAAATGATGGCTTCTGGACCGTCTGCTGTCCTAGGTCATTCTTGTCCCCACACTCACTGGGAGGAGGGGCAGGGCAGATGGGCCCTGGAGAGCTCACCTGTGGCATTGACGATGCTGTCCAGCAGAGGCCGTAGTGAGGGGGGGGCACTGTGGGGAAGGAGGTATGTGAAGAAAAACCTGGGGTGGAGAGAAACCAGGGGGTCAGTGGGCCGGCCTTTAGGGACACATCCTTCCTCTCAGCCAATGTGGGAGAGAACCCCAGTCTCTCCAGGGTGTCTGATCCCTCAGGCCTACCAATGAGGCAAATCCCCGGGGTGTACATGGAATCTACTCAGACGCAGCCTTGGGGGCTGGGTGCATGCTGAGGCCACAGCTAACCGACCAAACACGCCTGAGGTCCGTCTTCCCCGCCCCTCAGCCCCACACGATCCCCCAACTGACCTGTGTCAGAGCAGCCCCCTGGCTGGGGCCCAGACCAGGGGAGGAGGGGCGGTGTCAGTGTCACCCGCCAGAGGCTCCAAGTCTGACACTATTTTAAGAAGCCTCCAGCTGCTGCCCCCAGCCCAGATTCTTCCTGGAGCTATTTTTAGCCTCACCATCAGGAGCCTGAATGTTCCCTTCTTGCCGGGTAGAAGCCTTTCCCCTCCCTGGTCCTCCACTGGCCGAGGCTGAGCCTCCCACTCTGGCTGGCCTCCTGGCCCTCGAGTGGGCCCTTTCCCAGCCATGCCATCCCAGGCCCTCTCCCCCTCACTGGCCTTCCCGAGTAGGGGGTGGAGGTCACCTGTAGGCATTATAGAGGTTGCGCTTCTCGTTCATGCCCTCGCACCAGCCCTGGGCCGAGCAGGGCAAGGTGAAGTTCCTGGCTGGAAACTCGAGGACACAGTCGGCGCTGCTCGTGCACGGTGTCTCCTCCACGCGCGCATCATCCAGATCCGTCACCTTTAGCTCCCCGTCCACCAACACAAACTGCCGGGGGCGGAAGTCCAGCAGAGTGACCGAGCCCAGCGGGGAGTGGGCCAGGTGGCGGAGAAGGCGGCCCAGGCTCAGGCAGATCTGAGGGGCAGACACAGGGCTGCTCACTGCTTCTGTCCTGGGAGAGGACCTGGGGACTTCAGGGTTCCCTCCTTTGGAACTCTGGACTTAGCTCAGGGGGGGCTGGCTTTTCTTTTAAAGGCCCCAGGACTGAGGCCAGGGGCCTTAGAGAGCAAGCCAGAGGTTTTCCATTAACCCTTGGCTGGCTTGACCCTCAAGGTAACATGGAGTGGGCGGGCAGTGGGCAGCAGGGATGTCTGGGGATAACGGGTCCCCTCCCTGAAGCTACATCCTGAGTGTAGTTTTAGCCCAGTGCAGGGAAAGAGGAGGAGAGTCAAGATGGCTTTAAGGTGTTTTCTAGTCCTAGGACACTGACCCTTCTGCAACCAAGCTGAAAGTGTACGTGGGGGAGGGTGGGTGTGTAGGTGTGTGTGTGAGTAGCTAAAGCACAAAAAACGCCTGGGTCCTTTATGTCTTGCTTCCTTTTTTAACCCTTTGGCTGACGGCCGAGTCAGCTTTGCTCCATCCCTCCCTCCCTCCTCCTTTTCTGAGGAGGAGTTGAAGCTGCTCCGGAGGGCTGGCCTTCTAAGGGAGAACCATCCCAGCAGGAGCCCAGCACCCAGCCCTCCTTCCTGCTCACTCGGAATCGATCCTCCCAGGACGTCTGTAGCAGCTGGATCATCTCCACAGGGGCGCCCAGCTCCGTGATGGTGGTCAGGGTGTCCGGGATGTCCTCGCTGTCCTGGTAGCAGTAGCCATAGAGCTGGGGGAGACCCAGGGTGAGTCTTTAGGTCCCAGCTGGGGGTGGGGACAGAGAAGGGATAGGCTCTGCCCCCTCTGCCACCATTCCTTCTCCTGGGCCCTTCCTAGGCTTTTGTGTCAGCTGGGGTCAGAAAAGAATAAAAGCGTTGCCTGGGAAGCCTGTCCTCTATCCCTGTAGCCAGAGTTCCCACTGACTGAATCAGCTACTTACCTCTTGTCATGCAGGCGAACGGGCCAGAGTCTGGCCACCATGTGTTAACTATGAGCTAAATGTTTTACAGGCATAACTCAATTCTTATAATGACCTAAAATGAACATAGTTGGTACTATTATAGTAGGTACTATTATCATCTCCAATTTACAGGTAAGCAGAGCAATTCAGAGAGGTTAAGTTACTTGCACAAGGTCACACAGCTAATGAACTCAGGAACCAGAATTCAAATTTATTCCACTGATTCTACAGCCTGGTTCCTTCCAAGAATACTGATGGCTAATCAACAAGCCAACAAATGGTTATTGTATGTCCTTCCCTGCTCCAATCCTTGTCTATTTTTCATCATTTCCACTTTGTTGGTAGTTTCACTTTGTTTTCTGCTCAGGTCTTGTGCGAGGAAAAGCAAGCTCCCTGAGGATTGGTAACAAGCATTAAGAACAAAGACAAACAAAGATGCTAAGGGGTATGTCCTTGGGTGTTCTCTGCACTCACTGGTGGGCAGGGGCCACATGCATGAATGGAGGTGGTAGTGAGGGACGGCCCCCAGGGAAAGGTCAGTTCCTGGGGGCATGGTCACAAAGGCCAGCCCACTCCATATGCTCTGCAGAGGAGCATGGTATAGCTCAGCTTCTCAGGGGCTTCTGGGAAGCCCAGCCTGACTTTGTCACTAACACCTACACCAGCATCCACAGAGAACACGGCTTCCCCTGGCCTCGCCCACCACTGTACATCAGCCGGGATCAGACTGTGCTGGAAACCGCCAGCATCCTGTGGGGTAGGAACACAAAGGCTGAGCTGTCCAGGCCAGAGCAGGGAGAAAGGAGAGTTGCACAGTGGGGGTGAGGGTGGCAGGGTCAGCCAAGCCCACGAGATAGATGTCCCTGCATATTGTCACCCTTCATGCCATCATTCGCACCCTTCCCGGCTCTGCTCCGGGCCCTCACTGCCCCCTTCCACCCCAGAAGTGCCCTTTCAGCTCCCTGTCCCTGCAGCTGGCTGTCCTAGCCCTGCTGGCACGAGGGAAGGCACCAACAGTGTCTGCCATCAGACCATGAAGGCTTCAACTTGGGGGATGTGGGGACAGTCTCAGGCACCCTCTTCTTCCCTCTCTCTCCACCCACCACCTCCTGCCCCAATCAGCCCAGGGAGGCCCCAGACCCTCGTGGGGAGGAGGAAGGTAAGGAGAGCGGCCCTGGGGCCTGGTTCTCATTTGCTTGCCCAGAGTCTGAGCCTTTGTGGGAAACTTCTGAAGGTTATTAAACACCCGGAGGTCATTAAATGCGCTGTTAACGAGGTATTAATCAACACCCCTCAGGAAAAAATAAAAAGACACCATTAACCTCCTCCAGGAAGCGTGAGGCTGAGCATTTTGGTCGCATCTTTTGTTCATTTGGGAGAAGAAATATACTCCAGCAGGGCCAGAATCTGGGTCCTGGCAGGCCTGGGGCCTCCCGGGACAACGGGGGAGGGGGAGGGGAGGGAAGACCCTGGTGCCCTTTGACCCCAGGCTACAGCGGCATCTATCACGTGAGGGAGATTGTGTGTGTGTGTGTGTGTGTGTGTGTGCGCGCGCGCGCGTGCGCGTGTGTCTCGGGGTCACAGAAGAGGGACAGAGAAATCTTGCTCCGGCAGTCTCTGGAGGCCATGGAAGGTGCCCTGTGGGACATGCCACCCTGGGCATTTTTTATTGGAATCCAAAGAGCCCACTTTGGGGCTGCCAGGGAGGGGGCGAGGGACTCTGGCGGCCCACGGGAGCGGGAACTCTAAGAAAACGTTCTCTGTCTCCTCCCCAGTTCAGCAAACAGTCAAATGGTTTTGAAATATTAAATGATTAAGAGGTATTAAAACAACATTATTTCTAGTTCCCTGCACACCCTCACTGAAGCCCCCTGAGCAAGAAGACCCCAGGGCAGGCTTCCCTGGCAGTAGAGGTGGCATTGCTGAAAAAGCCAGAGGGACACTGGGCTGGGGGCTGGGGAATAGAAGGGGGAGACCCACTCGCCAAGCAGTCCCTGAACTCCCACTACGAGACCACCACTTCCTTGCGATGGTAGCTCTTCATCCATCCCCCGACAGAAAGGACCTGGGACCTACCCGCCACATAACATGTGCCCTAGTGCAACTAACCCCAGTTTCTGACCGAGGGTCGCACAGCCGACCCCAGACACAGCCGATCTTGGTTTAGTGAGGGAATGGGTGAAAACTATTCAGTTGTCATTTTTTTCTTTGGCACCTTGAGATTTAAACTGGGGGCCTGGCATTACAGTGGAGGTCCATTCGGTGATACGTGTGGGGGTGCTTAGCTGGATGTTTTGGCCGGGTGAAGGGGGGAGGGAAAAGTTCCTCAGGAGACAAGAAAGCACATCAAACTTCGAACCTGCCCAAGGGGTGGGGGAGGGTCTTGAATCAATTAACACAAATGTCCCACTAAGTCACTCAAAACCTTGTCCACTGACTCAGAATCTGGCTGACACCCCAGGGTTTCCAAAAAGTAGGGGCTTTCCAAGAGCCCCTGGAAGCGAAGAGAACAAGATCCTCCCAGTTAGAGTGGCCACGTAACCAGCAGCTCACTCCCTTAAGCTCCAGACGCAGTGTCAGCCATGCAACCAAGCACAAGCCCCCCCACAAATGCTGGCTCTGCCCACCCTCCAGCGACTAGTTCAGAGCCCAGAACCTAGTCCCAAGTGTCTGGCCAGGGCTGGGGAGACTGAGAACCAGTAGGAGTACACACAACTCTCTGGCCTACCTATTCTATCCTGCATATTCTGAAATGCCCATCTAGGCCTGGGGTCCATATCTCACTCTTGAGAAAGGGACTGGAGTTCTAATCAGTTCTGGTGGGTGCAGAAAGGTTCATTTGAATGGTCTAGGAGGTGGAAGGTGTGGGCAAGTTTCCTCCACTGCAGAGTCTGCACACACCATAGTTCAGTAGGCCAAGAGCACTCAGGGATTCCCTTCTCTGTCTACTCAGACATGTGCTAAGGGAACAGTTTGTCTAATCCTAAGGCCAACTCAAGGACAGAGAGCTAGGGGGGAGGAGGATGTGCTTGTGGGTTGTGTCAAGGCAGTGCTGGGACTATGAAAGGCCCTCTCTCTTGGTCTAGCCTGGAGGGGACAAGGTGGGGGGTCTCATCTTTCCCTTCTGCCCCCAGTGAACAGAAGAGACAGAATCCCATTTAATAGAAACTTGGGCGTCTGGCCTTCTCAGTGTTGGCCACATTTGCTCAGATAATGTGACCCTCAGACCGCAGGCCCTGGGCCTGTCCGCTTAACACTGAGCTGAGACCCCAAGGCTTCCCCTGTGGTTCCAGGGACCACTGTAAGGCCCGGAGAACCCCAGGCTCATTTCTGAGAAGAGGTGTGCACTTCTCGGACTACTGCCCAATCCCCTCCAGTCCGTCCAGGGATTTCTGGATGGGGTAAAGGGTGGGGATGTTCTTTGGGAATCAAGCCAGACACAAGGTCTCTTTCTAGCCCTTCCCAACCCCACTGCTGTCCCACCCCACCTGCAAAGCCAGACAAGTCACTGTTTGGAAGTTGAGAGAAATGGAGTTCAGGTTCCATCAAGAAACAAGACCCTATCGCTGTAGCTGGGGTCTTGACTCGGGGATGACTGCTGTCCTGTGTCTGAGCTTGGGGTTATTTCGAGAAGCAGGGTTCTAAGTCCTCATGACCCCACCCCGAGTTGGGACCCTCTGTCCTGGTCTCTGTCTTCCAGATATATGGTGTGGAAGCAGAGAAACCCAGGAGTCCCTGTTACAGAGGGCACCCACCCAGGACTGACAGGTAGGGTGGTGTAGTGGGAAGGAGCCACGGTCCAGGTTCTACTCCTTGATTAATCTGGGCACAGACATTCGGATTCCGTGTTTTTTTTTTTTTTTTTTTTTCTTCTATAAAACCAAGGGTTCCCTCCCAGCCGGAGGGACCGGGCCTGAGCACGCCCCGCACCCCCACCCTCGTACCTGCAGCACGTTGGGGTGCCGCAGCCGCTCCAGCAGCACCATCTCCTTGAGCAGCTTGTGGGCCGCCAGCCGATAGCAGCCCCTCCGTGCCCCGAACTCGCGCACGCAGCTACCCAGATCGTGGCCGCTGAAGTCCACCGCCTTGAGCGCCACCGCAGCGCCGCCGGGCAGGCGGACCCGGTACACGGCCTTGGTATAGCCGGAGCCCACGTACTGTGTGCCGGACACGTTGCGGAGCGCAGCGCAGCCCAGGCGCGGGCCCGGGTCCGGAGAGCCCGGGCCGGGAGCCGGGGGCCAGCCCGGGGCGCCGTCGGGCAGGGGCCGGGCCCGTGGGGGCCGGGGACGCTGCAGGCCCGGCCCGCCCGGAGCCAGATCCATTAAGCGCCGCCGCTCCGGCCGGCCGGCCCCGGGCGCGGGGCCCCCGCGGGAATAGCGCTGCACCTCCTCGTAGCGCGCTCGGATCTGCCGGGCCAGCTCCCCGCGGCCCCCGCGACGGCCCGGGCCCGGGGCTGGGGAGGGCCCTGGAGACTGGCCTGGCCGCGGAGGCTCGGAGCCCGGTGCGAAGAGCACGTTGAGGACGGAGCCCAGCAGGAAGGAGGCGCAGAAACCCGCGGCCACCGCCACCCGCCGGCGCCGCATCGCTCCCCTCCCCCCCCGGCCGGCCGGCCCCGCGAGGCTCCCCCGCCCCGGCCCGGGGAGGCTCAGGCTCCGAGGCGGCTCCGCTCTGCGCCCCACCGGCCTCCTGCCCAGCTCGTGCGCATGGCCCCGGTGGCCCCGACCCCGGCCCCTCGCGGGCGGCACATCGGCCTGACACTTGCCTCCCTCCTGCCCTGCCCCCGCCGCTTATAAGGCCCGGAGCCGCCCCCGCCTCCGCCCCCTCCGCCTCCGCCTCCCAGCTCCCGGCCCAAGAGCGTCCTCGGCACCGCCTCCTCCGGCCTCCCGGCCCGGCCTTCCCCGCTGACTGACAGCGGGACCTCCTCCAGCGGCCGTCCCGGCCTGGGAAGCGGCGCGGAGGCGGCTTCGGCCCTGCCCAGCCGAGGCCCCCTGAACTCAGGCGGACGCGAAGGGGAGGGGCCGGCGGCGGCCCCGCGAGGCGCGAGGCTCCGGGCCTGGAGGGAGGGGGGGATAACGGGGCCGTGGCTGCCGGCTAACGGGACGGGGAGGCGGATAACGGGGCCGGGCGGGCGGGGTGGGGTAGCAGGAAAGGGGCGAGGGCGCAGGTAACGGACTCCGGAGGGGACGAACGACTGGGTCCGGGTGCTGGAGATGTACGTGTGATGCCAGAGCGCCCTCCCTGGGACGCGTGGCTGGAGGCCGAGGGGGCGCAGGGAATGCGCGTGGGTCCCGCCTCCAGCTGGTGGGGCCGGGGGCGGCGGCTCCTCGCCCAGTCTCGGATTCGTGGGCGGGGTGGGAGTGGGGCGGCGGCGGCAAGGGACTTGCACCTGCGAGCGCGCGTGGAACGGGAACTCTGGGATCAGAGGAATAACCATGAAGTTTTCGGAGGTGCCCTGTTCAACCTCATCTACCACGTCTTTCTGATTTCTGATTCTCTTTCTCCCTAACTGCGACTCCGTCTCCGGATCTCCGCAGTCGGACGCGGTCAGCTGCGAATCACGAGCCACGTGCATACCAGTAGTTTCTGCGAAGAGTGCGTTTTTACCCACGGACGTGCGTGGTCCAGACTGCGGAGTGTGGCGTCGGTGCGTCTGAAAAGGCAGGCCACTGTGTCGGAGGAAGGGAGTGGGTACTTTGTGTGTAAGTTGGTGCGGACTTCACCAGAACTTCTGGTCCCTCCTCCTCCCTCCCTGATTGCATCATTAGTGCTAATTGAGGGGCTTTCACACGCCAGTGCATTAGCTGTTTGGAGTGAACTCCCCCTCCTGGGAGAGATAAGCCGCTGCCCCTCCCCCCGCAGCCGTCCCCTTCCCCACCGCCCTGGAACTGTCCGCCTAGATCCTCCCCTGTTCTTGGGCACCTTCCTGCCTCCTTGTGGCCCTAGACTGACGAATCTCCTTCTTCCCCGTAGTGTCCGAGATCGTCTAAAGAGGAGTCGGGTGGGGGAGGGGGGCCCAGAGCCTCCCCTCGAAGGGGGCATCGGGGAGGGGAGATTTTCCTGCAGGGGCCGCAAGAAATCTGTCGTTCCTACAGAATGCGGAGCCGCTGTGATGAGAGGGGACAGGAATCTCTGCCCAGTTCTTTTGGACGTGGAAGAGCAGAGAGGACTAAGTCCTTGATCCCACTTAAGTAGGGGAACCCAGCCCTGATTCCTGGGGTCCCGAAGACTCGGAAGGCTGGGGTCCAGTCTAGCTTAGCAAGCACGGGAGAGGCAGAATCAGAGAAGCCACAATTCTCCTGAGAACCTTGGGTTTGCTGGAGTTGGGTCTGGTTCTGTTTAGCTGCTCTGCCCTGCCCTGGCCCATGGCTGCTGGGTGTTGGGGGAAGGCGCTGAGCAGATGCCCTCCCCAGCCCTCACACCAGATGTCTTTGGTCTAATTAACTGCGCTGGGAAAACCAACCTGGGTTTGTAAACAGAGCTACTGGCTAAAGTCAACAGGGAGCAGCAGCAAACAGCAAACATTCCCTTCACACTCAGCTTCAGTTCAATCCAGCCCCCTGGGGAAGCGGAGAGCCTTGCCGATCAGGAGGCCCCCTTGGCCCACAGCTGAGTCAGGGAAAGCCTATCTGCCTCTGTGGACCCCAAGAGGGCTGATTTCTTACCAGTTCCAGAGGTTCTTCTACTGGGAAGTGGGGGTCCCAAGATAAGCTCTGCCCTGCTTCCCGCCCAACTTTTCAATCCACGAGGAAGCCCTAGCGGGGGGAATATTCCTTAAAGAGCTTTCCCTGGGGCCTGCTGTGCTCTTGGGTCTTGGAGAAGCCTCCGAAGTAGGTAGGGCTTGGCATTGTGGGTCTGTAACTCAGAGTGGGTGAATATAACGTGAATATTGTTAAGTTCGTTACACATCATGCAGGTATTATAATAACACGTTCCAAAATTAGATAATTATTCTTTGCCAGGCTCCAGTGCTTCTGTTATGGTTTGCAAGTTCAATACACGCAGGGGCCGGAGAAACAGGCACCAATGTGTGTGCAGTGTGCACACACAAGCCCACAGAGCAGCAGCCTCACACATGAGAACAAAGGCGTATCAACCCGCTCCTTCTCACACTCACTCTGTCTCCCTCACCGGCTCTCAGACACGCAGACATACACAGTCTTTGATGGAAATAGGTTTTTAGCCTCTGAAAAAAAAAAAGACTTAACTTTTTTTAACAAATTAGAGTTTCTGAATCGGAGGTTCTTGAGTTCTTAACCAAATCTTGCTTGTTTGCTTTTTTTTTTTTTTTTTTTTTTTTTGCCACCCAGAGAGAGGAATCATACTTTCAAACTATTGAAAAAGACACACAAAGCCCTGGCTGGTGTAGCTCAGTGGATTGAGTGCTGGCCTGTGAACCAGACAATCGAGGTTCGATTCCCAGTCAGGGCACATACCGAGGTTGCAGGCTGGTTCCCTGCAGGCCAGTTCCCAGCAGGGTAGCACGAAAGGCAACCATACATTGATGTTTCTCTCCCTCTCTCCTTCCCTTCCCCTCTAAAGATAAATAAATAAAATCTAATTAAAAAAAAAAGACAACCGCTGCCTAGACTCCAAGTCTACAATCTGTCCGTCCACTCGCTCCACCTTGGAGAACTGGCAGGGCAGTATCCCGGGTCTCCCAGACCAAAGTCCTCAGGCCAGTGTCTAGCTCTCAGAGTGCTGAGGGCTGTCATTCTGGGCCACTGCAGCCCTGAGAGGGTCTGTCTGGAAGTGTGAGGGCTAGTGCTGCAGACACGGGGGTCTCCTGCCCTTCCCTCTGCCACCCCCACCACTCCCAGCGCACACTAACTTAGCAGTTCGTGGGAAGGAGGCAAATGGCCCAGACTCCAAAATGGTAAATATCTTTGGAAATGCCTTTTAGATCAACAACTTCTACATGTGTTGTCAGATTGCCCTAGGGTGCCAGGACTGTAATACCAATCTTTCTGCAGCCCTCTTCATTGTCTCCCTTTCCCCTCCAGCCTAGGTTTCATATACTTCTTTTGGGGAACAGTTGTCCCTTGCTATTCCTGGGGGCATTGGTTCCAGGAATCTCGTGGATGCCCAAGTCCCTTCTAAAAAATGGTGTGGTATTTGCATGTAATCTACGCTCATCCTCCATGTACTTTAAGTCATTTTTGGATTACCTATCTTATCTAATATAATGTAAATAGTTCACATACTGTATTGTTTAAGGAATAATGACCCAAAAAAAGGTCTGCACATTCAGTACAGATACAACCATGTGGACCTAACTATATAGTACACATCAGCAACAGTGTAACACTTTTTTCCAACTATTTTCTATCCATGGTTGGTTGAATCCTGGATTCAGAGCCTGCAGATATGGAAGGGCAGCTGTATTAACTCTCCCGCTAAAAAACCTGGAGCATAAACTAACTCCAGGCCTCTGGGAGCTGGCCGCAGCCCTCCGCCTGGCTCTATCCACATCCCAGTTTTGCTTCTCTGCACAGAGCCTGGCTGACCACAGCCATCCTTTGCGTTTTTTCACGTTGCCCTCCCACTTCTTCCTTCCCGAAATGTCCTCTTCTAGCCTGTGCACACAGTCTTTGCTGGCTGGTTCTTCAAGGTCTCCCAGAAAGTCGTGAGTTACAGGTCATGCCTGTCCACCTGGGGTACGTGGGTCCCTGGGATCTTGAAGGTTTATTCTGATGAGTTCTGTGGATTTTTCTTAAAAAGGAAATGGACAAAATACATTTCTCAGGTCTAAAAAAAAGTGGAATAAAGAGCTTAGGACTTGGAGTCGGAGAAATCTGGGCTTAGACTTGTTAGTGGGTTGCTTTGGGCAAGTCAGTTAACCTCTGTAATGTAGTCTTCATTTTCTCGTTCAGAAAGTGGGAGGTAATAGTAGTATCTACCGGACAAAGTTGTCCAGTGGATGATATGCAGGGGCATATAAAGGGGCACAGGATATGCCCTCAGTGTGTGTGATCTATGGCTCGTATTAATAATAATATTAAACAAATATCTGTGACAACGTGTTAGGCAACCTGGTTGGCTGTAAGTCTGCCTAGCGGCAGAAATGACTTGACTTTCTATCTTGGTTTCCACTGGTGAAACCTCTCAGGCTCCTGGGCTTGCTCTGTGCCTGGAATTTTCACTGTTTCCCAAATCAGCAAACCAGCAGTGCATCAGAGGAGGCCTCTCTGCCTTCCCCACCCTGCGGTGAGCTGTGGAGGGAAGATCATGAATCAGAGCCTGATTCCTGGTGGTATGGTGACCCTGAGCAGGGAAGGCCTCCGCTCTGAGCTCTGGGGACAAGGAACTGGGGGGTGGGGGTGGGGGAGGGAAAGAGGTGGAGCCCGGCAGGCTGCTCCCCCCACCCCCACTTCCCTCAGGTAGGAAGTGAAGCGGACGGTTCTAAAATATAAAAAACAGATGATGAAGGTCAGGTTTCCTACACGCTGGAGAGCGGGAGCCCCAAGGCAGGGTCCCCAAGAAATGATCTGAGACAGAGCTGGGGGAAGCGAATGAAAGAGAGACGAGACAAGATAGACAAAGATGCAGAAATGTGGAGACGGACAAAAGCCCCTGAATCTTGAAAAGGGTAATCAGACAAAGAGCACAAAGCCCTGGCTCGGGAGAGCTCTCCACCCGTTTCTGGAAAAGAGCTTAGTTCCTCTCTGTGGGTCTCAAGGTGAGAACATGAGCCATTCTGCTTCCATGACCCTGGCAGAGGGCGAAGCCCGTCAGAACCGCAGAGACCAAAAGGCTCTGTGGGCTCC